AAACACTACGCATACGCAATGACCCACAGTTAAGGTTAATCAAATTTATTTATCAGGAATTAATGTAATTTATAGGATAAAAAATTAAAATAAATATCCGGCTCGAAGAACCAAATATTATTTTTATATTTATTTATCAAATAGAAAATATCAGACCTAACTAAACAACAATTTATTTTAAGGTACAAATTTCAAAACTTAAATTAATAAATTAAATTTCTAAATAAAAACATCATTTTCTAATGACTCTTAAAGTATCACTACTAAGTGGGTTTTGACTGTGGAAAATTCAGACCATTTAGCGGACCAGCGGCAGCTGGAAAAGCTCTCACAAAAGAAACAAACAAAACGGAAGGAAATAAGGAGAAAGAGAAAAACGAGAACTATGGAAAAAGTGGGCGACGACCTTTTCACGAAAATTCATTGTCAAGCCCCTCGTGAGTGAGTGTGTATGAGGGAGGAGGGTCGGTGGTTCCCTCTGAAGCCTCTGCACCTGACACGAAACTGTTGACGAAGTCGGGGCGCCACTTCAAACAGTTTTCCACGTTGCCTGCCCCCCCCGGCCGTTTATTAAAACTAATTAAAATGTTTAAAACATTTATAGAACAAACGGAATGGCATGGAGAATGAGAGAGAGGGGAGAGGAGGCCGAGCTGGCAAGGACATCCACAGAAGAGCGGATCCTTAATTGCCGCAATTACCGTTGACGGCAACACTACACTACACACACACCCCTCCCAGAATTTAAAATTAAAGAAAGACCTTCTCTGAAAAATTGTAAAAATATTGTTTTCTTAAACCAAAATAAAGCTAGGAATAATCTTTAAAAATTATTTACAAAGAAAAATTTGGAAATTTTCATTAAAATAAATGATAATAAATAAATAAAAAATAATAAAAAATAATATTGCCTAACAAAGAACTGCCAAATCAAAGCTTTTCATATCTAGTTTTAACTTTTCTTTTACAACCACTATGATGATCTCCATGTGTCCCTTTCGTTGACCTCGTAAAACATTCAGCTGCAGGATTTTCCAGCCACACATATATCCTACGAGAAGGACAAAGATCTTTGTGCTTTCCCTGGCTCTTCATCAATCTAAGTCGCATTCTTGGACTCGGTTTAACTTCCTTTTCCAGGCTTTGGTCGATATCCCTGCCTCAGAGCGAGTTCTTTCCCCATTTAGTTTCAGCGAACCATTCAAAAGCTGCCAAGGAGACGGCGACTGAGACTGCGATAACTGCTAGCGAGATTTTCGTCCTTTTATATATCGCCTTTATCCCGCTGATTTTGTGTTTTCCTCGGTTTTCCCTCGGTTTTCCTTTGCTGCTGCTGACATCGATTTGGCCGCTTTTCAAGTGCACCATTCTCTTTCATTTTTTTCGTGGCTCAGTTTCTTTTGTTTTCTTCGCGATTCTTTTTTCTTTTTTGCAATAAAGCTGCGCGACATTTGCATAAGACCCCGCCGAGCAAAGATGTACATGTGGAGAGTACACTCAAAGGAATATTTTAGGATGTCCTTAAGTGCAATCAATATCTAGCTTTATCTATATAGACTTAGAAGGAGATCTATAGAATTTTGTAAGCCCCGATAAAGGTTTAGTTTAGCATCAAGTGAAATATTTTAGCAAATTTAATATTTAGTAATTAACCCTCTAGTGCCCAAGACCGCCTCTAGACGGGCAATGTTAAAAACACCGTTATTTTATTATTTTCATTCCTTTTCACACGGTTTTCCGTTTTTTCTAATTCAGGAAAGTCCAAAAATTAAGTTCGTTGCGTTTGGAATACATACTAGAGCTAGCGCAAGCTGCTGTATTCATTTGAAGTTGAAAATTTGTGCAAATCGGACAAAATAATTATTTTGTAGGAAATACAACATGTAAATACTTTTTTTTTAAATTCGAAAAAAATTAGAACAAAAAATTGTACTGTGTTGCTGACAGTCTCAATTACATTTATAATAAACATTTTAACAAAAAAAATTTTTTACCTAATTTTTTGTTGGCCTATCTTCCCAGAACTGCCTTCATGCGGTCCAAGGTTTTAGTCGTATAAAACTCGATCCGAGCAAAAGTAAAATTTTTTCCAAAACAAACATTCACTTTTGATACATACTGAATCCAAAAATAATTTTTTTTTTGAAAAAAAAAATTTGGGCACTAGAGGGTTAAAAATTTCCTACGGTGCATACATGTCAGTCCCTTTCTCTTTTTTAATATTTATTGCACCCAAAAAGGACGAAAAAACACCCAACATAGTGTCCTTGCCCTGCTGCTTGCAAGGATAAAATGCATTTTGAGGCTGATTGAAACTTGAACTAATCAATAAGTTATTGAGAACAAACCAAAAAAAATTAAGAAAAATAATTTTTAATAACCAAAAAAAAAGAATTTATTCATAAACAAAGCAATACAAGTAATATAACTTATAAACTATAATAAAAAAAAGATTAAATTCATTATAAAAGCAAAGATTTATTAACTAAGCAATTAATTTTTATTTGTATTTTTTTCTCATTAAAACTCAAATTAAATAAAGCAACTTAAACAATATTCAGCTGCTTACCTTAACTTTCTCTGTTTTCCCAATTTGAACCGTGGCTTTGCTTTCCCTGTTTCCTTTTTTGTTTTTCCAACCGCAGGGCGCCAAAATGTATGCAACATTTTCTCTGTTGTTATTCAACTCTGCACCAAATCATTTCGAAAAGCAACACAAATAAACAAACAAAAAATAGAAACAAAAATAAAGAAAAATACAGAAACCAAATGCATGTCCTAATTGATGACAGGACAAATACGGAGGGTGGCAACGCGGGGGAAATCGAAACTAAGCAAAACAAAAGCTAAAACAAAAACCGAAACACACAGAAACAGAAAACGCAACGAAGTTTTGCACAATTTAGTGCACATTGTTGCCATTTATTGTTGTTATTGTTGTTATTGCTGCTGCTAAAATTGACTTAACTGTACTGCAACAGCAATAATAGCAACCAACACATACCACACCCCTCAGACGCTGCTTTCTACACAGCAAAAAAAAAATGGGTTAAGAATTTATTTCAGGGAATTAAATAGCTTAAAAGGTTCTCTAAATAAATGAAACTACATTTTCTATTTACAAACTCCTTTAACTTTTATAAGAATACTTTTAAGCAAACAAAAAATAATTAATAGGTTACCATGGCAACACTTATTGCTTTATATGTGGCTTAGGCCACACTAATATATTTTTTTTATATTTATTTACCTACCTCGTTTATTATTTATAAGTCTTTTATTTATTTTTTTGACAAAGAAAAATATATAATCCACAGTTAATATTTACATTATATTTATTTATTTATATTTTTGGTGAATAGTAGATTTCTTCGTGTGCAGAAAGGCATTAGAAAATCCCTCCCTCCTATTTCGTTTAACCTAACCCTTTTTTTTTATTTGTTGCTACTGGCTAGGGAACTTTGTGCCCATTATTGATCCATGGCATATAGCATAGGAGAGAGACTACGACTACTATTCCACCTTAACCGAGGGGCGTAACCTCGCTCAACTCCACCTGACCCTCTCCCGGGGCCCCCCCTGTGTGTACCTTCTGTATTTTTAGACCCCCAACCCCTGGCCTCTCTCTCCCATGGGCATGCCTAATATGGGTCTTTATTTAATTTAATGCCATTTTTGCAGCTACGGGAAGGAACGGAAAAGCGGGAGCCAAGAACAACTGAGAATACTTCATAATAGTGACACGAGTAAACAGACACAGACTGAGGGATAGACGGTATAAATTGCATTCCAAAATATCGATGTTTTACTTATACGACTCCAAGATAACCATTTTTGAGGCAGGTGTTTATTATTTTAAGTTTTTATTATTTTATATATTATTTTAATGTTATTTTTTACTTTAAATCCTCACTCAACAGAGCATTAATAATATCTTTAAAATGTTTTCATTTACTTGGCTCATGCACCTTTGGTTGTTTTATTTTATTATTAGTAATGCACTGAGCATATAATGTGGCAAGAAAAAGAAATATAATGAATTTAATTTCTCAAATAATTATTTAAAAATGTGAACTTGTTTACAAAACATATATTAAAGTAAATAAATAAAATATATGTTCAGAGTATGGTCACACTGATTGCTTAAAGCAACGAAATTTAATCAAACTCTACAATATTTTCAATAAAAAAGATTAATACCATGTACTAAAATTCCAAGTCTGCCCAAAAATAAATAAAACCTCAAAAATCATACTTAAAATTATGAAATTTTGCCAGTGTGACCATATGCAGTACTCCGTAAATGATTCATTCGATAGTCGCTGGCAGTTGCTGGCATTCCCATGTAAAAGTTGCAGCACTTTGTGCCCATGTCTGAGTCCTTTTGAGTGTGTGCATCTGGTATATCCGTTGTGTATGTGTTTTAAAAAAGAAATTGTTTATAATACAGCAGGAGGCGGAAGAAGGCCTGCTAGTACACTACTATGTATCTCTCCCCTTGCAACAATAACAAAAATGGGGAGGAGACAAGGAAAGGCTCAAGGAAAAAATACAATAAGAAGGAGCACCCAGAATTTCCCTGATGGCAAGCGCCTGCCTTGTTGCACATGAATGGACACGCACACATATTGCATTGTGTTTCATTCTCTTTTTTTCTGTCTCTTTCTTCTAGTACACTTTGCTTAAACGCTTTAAATTGTTTTCCATTCTGTTGTTGTTGTTTCCTTTTTTTTTTTGAGAAATTCGTACCTAAGCTCATTTGGGGAATTTAAAATCATTTTGTGTGAGCCTTTTGGTAAATCGCCCAGGAGACGTCGACCCTTTTGGTAAAGTCTCCTTTTTTTGGGGTGGGAAAGGCGATACACAGTGGAAAATTGCGAGAGTGAATTAAAGGTATTTAAAAATATTTATTTTAACTTTTTAAACATAAATTAAGGACTTCAAAATAAACATAAATACTTAAACATCATTTTAAATAATTTCTTTCTATTTTTTTTCAGGTAAGCTGAAGATAAATTAAGAAGCCCCACCTAAAGTCAAGTGTAAAATATTTCTTAAAAAAGCTCTACTACGTAAGTCAAACATTAGTTACTTTAATAAAATATATTTGTAATATTTATTTAAGATATTACATTGTAAAGATTATCATTATTATTTAATTTTAATTATTCTACTTTTCTGTTTGTGCGTAAAGCATTCGAAAAAGCCCTTGAATAAATTATAATAATTCACCTTTTAAATCTTTGGGCCAAACAACAAAAGCTGCCCCGGTGGCAGATGGCAAAGTAATGAAATATTTCCCCTGGAGTTAATTACAGAGTTAACTCCTTCATTCGCGCGGCATTCAACGGATTCCGATTAAATCAATTTCCAATTAGAAATTCACAGCGCTCAATCATTTGGCAGCGCCATCTAGTGTCAATATTGTGCAGCACTTACACCAAGGGTCAAGAAAGGCCAACAACCAATAGCAGTGGGAGAGTGTGAGAGAGATGGAGTGCTTAGAGACGTGACAGTGACGTAGTCTTGGGGGGGGACAAGGTTTATTGGGGAAATTATTATATTTAATATTTAAATATAAATAAAAAGGGAAATCTTTTAGAAAAAAACTCAAATTGTTCAAAATTTCATTGAATTTTCCATCTTCTATTAGAATTTGAAATTAATTACTAAACCTTTTCCGTACTAAAAGCCTCGTTTTAACTCATCCCCCTTTGTGACAACGCCACTGACCACCACCTCTTGTGTATTAGAGGTGCCAAAAGGAGGTGGTGAGGCTGGCATGGGCATGGGCATGGAGAGGGTGTGTTTTGGGTGGGAGCTTTGCTTTATTGTTATAGCGCAAACAATTTCGTGTCATCCGCAATTAGGCAGGCTTCAGGCTCAGGCTCGCGTAATATCGATTTAATTGCGCGCCGTTGGCCAAAAGGGGCCAATAGAGGAGAGAGAGGGAGAGGAGAGTGAGGGAGGTGATGAGCTGGGTTAAAAGGGGGCTTTTGAGGGGTCGGTATTCAGGAACAGAGATGACCTTAGGTATGATCAAGTGATCTAGACATGTCCTTCTTTCCTTTTGGACTTATATAAACTAAGATTTAGTTATAAAATTAAGGAAATATTTTGTTAAAATAACTGTTCCATAGCTCATAATAAATTCGATTTAGGTTATGATTTATTTTATTTCTTTTTTTGTGTTTGAACTTTTTGTATAACTTTAATTTGAACTTTAAGGGTTTCCGCAAACAAACAAAAAAATAAAATAGAAGAAGGACACGTTCCAGCTTGGTCTTAATCTGCTCTAGATCCCCCCGGCCAGCCCCTCCCTCTTGCTACATGCATAATTGAATTTAGTGCTGCTTCCCTCAATCCCCCTAATCCCGCCCCACTCTGCCACCGCCCCTGGTCGCGTCCTGTCTTATTCGCACTCCTCGCCTTTGAACTGAATGAGGTTCCAATTTGATTGCATTAACATTTGACATCGGCAGGAGCGCAGTCCGGACTGCTGGCCGGGATATGGAACGTGGCACAATACAGAGGTTATACCAAACACGACATACACTGTGAGAAATAAGGGATATAAATGGGGAAAGAAATTTGAGATGGTTATAGTTTTTGATTTATGTTTTCATTTTACTCATTAAAAAACAAAGAATATATAAATTTACCTTTTTTAATTTAGCATTTCTTCTTTTTGTTTTACTATTTTCTCCCAGTGTAGAGCTATACAGATGTGTGCATATATTAACAAAAGGTCTTCGTCCATTCTGCGGCTGCTTGTGTTCCTGATGTTGAAGTTGCTTTGTTGCCAGCCTCTGTTTAATATGCAGGATTTTGTTATTAATATTCAATTAAAAAGCTTCAGCTGGAGTGGCCCAAAAAGAGGTGGGGGAGGTCCCTTTGACCTTGGTTGCGTGGCCCCACCCACCCCGCTTGGGAAGTGCGAAGGCGGCGCTAAAACTTTTGGCTCAAAGCTCCTCATGTTTTTCTTGCTTATTTGTATTTTTCTTCGGCACCCCCTGAAAAAATTGATGAATTTATTGGCCTGGCCACGCCCACGCCCATACGCCTACACGCCCTTGGACTAATTTATGGCTGCTGCCACTGATGAGCCTCAAAGGGAAAGAAGAATTAGCAGCTGAGCAACATCAATTTGATTAGGTTTTTCTGTTTTTTTTTTTTGGGGGGGTGGAAAGGGAAAAGCCTTTGACTCGGAACTGATGTTAAATATTTATTAAATTATTTAAAAATATTTATATACTTTAATTTAGTTTCTTTACATTTTTATCCTGTTAATTTTATCCCCTGTTAAGATTTCAAATAGCATTTTTTATGTTTGTCTCAAGTTGTTTCCTTTGTTTAAAAAAGAAAAACTTCTCTCAACAGAAAAAGGGTACAAAAAAAAGGATAATGATAATAATAAACACATGACAATCCAAAAAGAGAACACTGCATGTGTGTGTGTGTGGCGTAGTTTTCCGAAAGGAAGAAGGCACAACTTTTGTTTACTCAAATGCTGCGAATGAAAGATATTTCCAGCGAAAATTCCTTCGTGAGGGATCTAATTAACATAATGTCGGGAAACACCCTCGCACACCTCGCACCTCTCTCCCTTACCCCTTCGCTCTCTAGGACACTGCGTTGTGTCTGTGTGTGGGTGTGTGTTGGGGGTTGCTTGGTGTGTGTGTGTCATTAGCGTTTTCGTGGCATGTTTTTTTTTTTTTTTTTAATTTTTCCCGTCTCCGGCTTGGTTGCCGCTATGCACTGAGCAAAAAATAATACAAATACACCTTTAAAAAAATATTTAATTAATTTTTAATTGTTTTAAATTATAATTTATTAATTTAAAAAAAAATATAATAATTTTTCATTGTTTTAAATTATAAATTATTATTATTTTTATAACTATATAGCTTAATTTTTTTTTAAATACTTGAAATTACATTTGTTTTAGTGTCCAAAAGTTTGCAATATTTTTCATTAGTAAATGTTAGCATACCTTTCAGCGTCATTCTTGTAATTTCAAATTTCCTATTAATTTAAGCAAATAAATCTATATATTTTAGTTTTTCCCTGTGCACTTGCTTGCCTTCTCTTTTGCTCGCCAACTGTATCCGTCTCGCTCTCAGCTCCTTCTGCGGTGGCATTTTCAGCACGTGCGTTTCCAGCAACAACAAATGCTAAACTAAAACCAACTAAAAGTAACAAAAACAACAACAACGCTGACAGTCTGCAATTACAATAAACAAAACAAAACGCAGCAAATGCTGGAAAATGCGGGGGAAATGGTATGAGGGAAAAATGTCTGAAAGGGTGAGGGTGGAAGAGACAGAGCACAAAAAGGAAATGGGTTACTCGCACAAGCGAAAGGAAACTAGCTGAAAAGTAAAGTTGGAACTTCAGGTGGGGTCTCGGGAAATGTTTATGTTAATACCCGTATTTTGGGAATAAGAAAAAAAACTAAGAGAAAAACGAAAACCTAAGAGTACAGTTAACAAATGCCCAGAAAATTGAGAATAATGTAAATTATATTTTTTTTATAAATTATTAAAATTTTAAACTCCTGTTACTACTATCTTAAAATTAAAATTGAATATTAAATAAAATATAAACGAAATAAATCAATGTGGTTTTTAAATCACTGTAAATGCAGCTGCAAAGTATGCTACAAAATGTTACTTCTTACATTTAACTGCTAAGTGTAACATAGCATACTTTTAGGCACCATTTAAATAAATTTTAAATTTAGAACTTACTCTTTAAATTATATTTTTTTTAAGAATTTTACATTTTTAACCATTTTTTATCCTATTATCATTACATTTCACAATTTTTTTACCCCAGCGTAGAGCTAATAAAGCCTGGCATATACTATATATTTTTTTTTTTACATAAATTACTTACTATTACGTAGTACTCGCTATTCCACCTCACATAATTCTGGACAATCGTAGTGATTATAGTAATTCATGATCTTAAGGACAATAAAAACCAAGTGACAGAGCAGGATGGCAAGTAATTTTAATGTCTCGCCTGGAAGTACATAAAAGCAAAGTCCCCGAAAAAAAAGAAAGCATGGAAAGCTTCAGCGCACGCAAAAGAAAAGCCAGGAAAATGCGCGGGGGGGGGATAAACAAGGGTAAGAAGACTATTGGGGAAGTGGTTTTTACTATCCAACGAGAATCTACCGCAACTAAAAACAAAAGTTATGTGTGCACGAAAAATCATGTCCAGTCATTTCCTGTACAACTTTCGGCCCAAGGACCCAAAGAACCGCCCCCTGGGAAAAGTGAGGGGGTTATAGTGGCTACTAGATGGCCCGAGGATTCCCCTCCCCCCCATTGCCAAAGCGGCTTTCGTTCGGTGGCCTTTTATGGTCATAAAAATTTTATTATAATTTTTAATAATTTAGGCAAGCATATTGCTGCCAGCGAAGCGAGCACCGAGCACGGAGCACCGAGCATGGAGCATGGAGCATGGAGCATGGAGCACTCTGAGCTATCCAAAGTTTTTCCCCTTCTTCCCCTATCACCTGGCTCATACGCATGCCGGGCATTTCCGGCTCTATATGTGCCGCCGGACATACACACACAGAGAAGGCGAATGGGCATTACGGACAAGGACCAACGGACACGAACATGGGCACAGACGGACGGACAGTGGAACACAGTCGCAGTCAAAGTGCAAATGCCGTAAATCATGGCGCTGGTAAACAAGCAACAGAAAAGGTAAAAGCACCAAAAGCAGAGGGAAAAGAACAGGTTGAAGGGTACCTTTGAATATCCTGAAAACAGGAATAAAAACAGGATATATATATATAAAAAAATAATATGAAATGAAGGTTTACATTTTTATACTAGATTTAGGTTTTCTAAAAAGTCTGAAATTGTTTTAAAAAGTAAAGCCAGGTGTTTCCCCTTTTTAAAGTCTTTAATTAAATTTTAAAATTGACTATTAAATTATTTTATTTTTATTTTTAAATTACCCAGAAACTAAAAATAATTAAAATATATAATATATAATATATTTTATATATTAAAAAAGTCTAAAAATGAAAGTAAAAATGCTCAGGTAGGGGGTTTTTCGGGTTCAAAGTCTTAAATTATACTTTAAAATTAGCTATTAAATAATTTTATTTATTTATTGAATTACCTACAAACAAAAAATATATTTTATATATTTAAAAAGTCTAAAAATCAAGATACCCTATTCCAAATCGAAAGGGTATCAAATCCACCGATACGCCGTAGAATAGCCGTGTAGCTATAGCCGCAGCTACAGCGATAGCGATAGCGACAGGGATATGGATTGGGTGGTTTTTCTGGCGAATCAGTGTATATATATACATATATATATGAATACATATATATATCCTCACTGGTCAGCCGTCTTTCGGCGCTTTTCGTTAACGTTTTAAGCCCGTTTTTCCAGATACTTTTTTTCGCGTTTTTACAGCTTTCATCGTCTCCTCTTCCGTTTGGTTGTTTCGCTTTTTTCAGGTGTTGTTTTCTTATTTTTCACATTCAAAAGGTGGCGGGAATCCAATGAAATCGTTAGCATTGCCTTTTAGCTGTAAGGTTCAAGTAAAAACAATGCAGCTAAAAAATTGTTATAGCCTTAAAACTAGATTTTTTTAAACTAAAACCAAGGAAAATTCTTGAAAAACCAACTGATTATATTTTATAATAATTATTTATTTAAAATAAATAAAGTTTTCGTGGGTTTTCTGGCATCAACAGGCTTTTCTTTAGGGCTTTAAATGTCTTTAGGTACTTTTCAGCCAAAAAAAAAATACAGAAAGAAAAAAAGAGATTGCCGCAAATGCCAAGGCCAAACCCAGACTGACAAGAGTGGATGAACAGTGGGGCAAAGTGGGGTAAAAGTGTGGGAAAAGTGTAGGAAAAGTGTGGAAAAGTGGGGGCGACACAAAGACGCCTATCGCATATGTCATACATATGTTCTGGTGGCCTGTTTGTTTATATGGGAGTGTGTGGGTGTGAGAGTCTATATGTGTGGGTTGCATTCAGTCGCGGAAAATGGAAAAATGGATGTGAGGAAATGTACGCAAACCGAAACGGAAAATACAACAACAAAAATATAGGCGACACAAGTCGGCACAAAAAAGCGTTAAAATAAAGACGGGAAAATGGAAGAAGAAAATAACCAGAACAAGATATTCTTGAAATAAATGTTTTAATTCTAGGAATTTAAAAAAAAAAATACTTACTGAGCTAGAAAAAAAAAATAATAATAATAATATTTTTAATTTTTAATATATTTTTTCTTTATTTTTCCTAAAAATAAGTATTATTTTATGTGTAAAAATGCTTTTACCGCTTAGCAGTTACTAAAGTTTAAGTCCTGGCAGTTTGCTACGACACAGTTCATGATTTTAAAAAAATCCAGACAGCTGACAACAGCACCCACACACACCCACACACACCCAAGCCCCCCTTTATATATATATATATATTTTTTACACATTTTCAGGTCTTTCATTTGGTTTAAACTTGACCCACAAAAACGGATTTTATTGCATTCGTTTGCCATGTAAGCAGAGGTGAAAGGTGAAAGGGGATCTTTCCAGGGTTTATTGAAGCGAGTTTTCTACTCTTTTTTTCTACTCGCTTGTAATTATTTTCTTATGTCAACTAGTTTTACGGATTTCAGTACTTTAATTAAGCAGAAACTTGAAAAAGATAGTTTAAAGTCGGAAATATAGATGGAAAATATTTTTATATAAATATAGAGAAACATAGAAAATAAAAATATATTAAATATTACAAATTAAAAATATTAAAATCCACTTTAAAATTTAAAATATAAAAGAATCTTGATATTTTTCTTATCTAATTTTCCTCCGTTTTCCTCTCCCTTCCAGCCTAGTTAACTATTTGATTGAAAATGAAGAAAACTAGCGGCAGTCGCCAACTGGTGCTGCCTCTGATCCTGACGCTACTGATGGTCCTCATTCTCCTCCAACCGATTGCCGTCCAAGCCAAGTCAAAGAAGAACAAATCCAATCAGAATTCCCATCACAGTGACTCCTCTTCGAGTTCCTCTTCATCAGCCGGATCCTCCACCAACGAGGAGAACAACAAGCCCAAGAGCGGTGACAATGGTGGCCAGCACTTTGCCATGGAGCCACAGGATCAAACGGCAGTGGTGGGTTCAAGGGTCACCCTGCCCTGCCGGGTGATGGAGAAAGTTGGCGCCCTGCAATGGACCAAAGATGACTTTGGCCTGGGCCAGCACCGGAACCTAAGTGGTTTCGAAAGGTACTCGATGGTGGGCAGCGATGAGGAGGGTGACTTCTCCCTAGACATTTACCCGCTGATGCTGGACGATGATGCCAAGTACCAGTGTCAAGTGGGTCCTGGCCCGCAGGGTGAACAGGGCATACGTTCCAGATTTGCCAAGCTAACGGTACTGGTTCCCCCGGAGGCACCAAAGATCCTGCAAGGTGATTATCTGGTAACCACCGAAGATCGCGAAATCGAACTGGAATGCGTTTCGGTGGGCGGTAAGCCGGCAGCGGAGATTACCTGGATCGATGGCCTGGGCAATGTCCTCACCAAGGGCATTGAGTATGTCAAGGAGCCGCTGGCTGATTCGCGGAGAATAACAGCCAAGTCGATTTTGAAGCTGGCGCCCAAGAAGGAACATCACAATACCACGTTCACGTGTCAGGCGCAAAATACAGCCGATCGGACATATAGATCGGCGAAACTCCTCCTGGAGGTGAAGTATGCACCCAAGGTCACGGTCTCAGTGGTGGGTGGTGCCTTGGCGGGTGGCAAAATACCCGAAGGAGCCGAGGTTATACTTAGCTGCCAGGCCGATGCAAATCCCCATGAACTTAGCTATCGATGGTTTATCAACGATGAGCTAATGACGGGTGATTTTACCACCAAAATGGTGAGTATTTTTTAAGCTGGAAATAACTGTATAATAGGGTTTATATTATATGATTTATATATACATTTTCCACCAGATTATACACAATGTAACGAGGCAATATCACGAGGCCAATGTCAAGTGTGAAGTGCTCAATGCGGTGGGCAAAAGCGAGGAGAGCGAGACTTTGGACATAAGCTGTAGGTTTTTCTATATATTTTTATATACAACTTGATTCCTATTTAAACTTTATTTTCTTTTTCTTTATATACAGTTGGTCCTGTTTTCCGTCAGCGTCCTGTGAGCGTGGAAGCCGATTTGGGCGCCACGGTGAGCATGCGCTGCGAGGTGGCTGGCAATCCCAAGCCCGAGATTGAATGGATCAATGAGAACTCGGATCAGGTAAGTGCCTTAAGTCACCTCAAAATACAGGCCTTAACTTTTGTATATCTCCTCCCCCCAGATCGTGGGTCGCAGTGCCGAGCTAAAGCTCAAGGTAACCAGCGAAAATGCTGGTCGTTACTTTTGCAAGGCTGTGGTCAATGGCTTTCCCGAAATCGGTGCCGAGGCCACAATCTATGTCAAGCGAGCGCCCATCATCACCTCCCACAAGGTTCAGTTTGGCGGTGTTGGTGGACGCGTCAAGATCGATTGCCTAGCCTTTAGTATACCCAAAGCCGAGCATATCTTGTGGTCCTTTGAGGGCAAAGTCATAAATATGAGCAGTGCCGATCCCGATATATATATTTTCGAGGAACATCATTTGCCCGAGGGCGTCCGGGCAGCCCTTATAATCCGGGATAGCAAGGCCTCGCATTTTGGACGCTACAATTGCACGGTAATGAATTCGTATGGTGGCGACTCTCTGGTTATCACTTTGGTCCGTGAGGCAGGCAGCATTCCAGTACTCCTGGTTGTCATGGGCTCCATGTTTTCGGTGGCCATTATCCTGATGATTGTGATGATTATCATTGTGTATCGGAAGCGACGCAGTCGTAAGAAGCCCATGCCAGCGGATGTGATACCAGAGGCATCGCGAGGCGGCGATAAGCTAAACGAACTGAAAAGTGAGCTGCGCTCGAAGGCCTATGATGTGGAATACTCCGAGGCCGGTGGCGATGGTTTGGCCATTAATCTAAATCAATCCCCCATGCCCGATGTCCAGATGAAGGGCGCCACCTTGGGTGTGCCATTGGCAGGACCCGTTAAGTTCGATGAGCGTTTCTCTGGGGACTTTAACGGCGGCGGCGGCGGCGGCGGCGGTGGCGGCGATCGCTATAACCGGCAGTGTCACATCAAGAATCTGAAGAACCAGCAGGAGACTGCCTACAAGGAGAGTCCCCAAGCCAATGGTTATGCCCATTATTTTGAATATGCTCTGGACTATAGTCCGCCTGGAGAGGGTGGTGGTGGATCGCTGTTGGTGGGTGGCAAGGCCAAGAATGGTGGCATGAACTCGGCCACCTTGCCACACTCGGCGGGAGCCTCCGCCGGCGGTGCTGCTGGAAATGCCGCTGGTGGAACTAATGGAGGCGGTGCCAGTCTGCCACGTAATCAGCGACATGAATTGCAGCAAAACCAGCAGGCCAATGGATTTTTGGGTGAGTTTTCATGACTTTTTACTTTGAGAAGAAGATTTTCCTAAGAGTTTTCTTGATTTTGTGTGATTTTTCCCAGGTCAACCCCTGCTACAGAATGGCATTGACAGCCGCTTCAGCGCCATTTATGGCAATCCCTATCTAAGGACAAACTCCTCGCTGCTGCCCCCGCTCCCGCCGCCGAGCACTGCCAATCCGGCGGCCACACCTGCCCCGCCACCTTACCATGCCGCACGGCATGGCCACCATGCCCATCATGGGAGCGGCGGTTTGAGGCACTTTAGCGGCGGAGCAGTGATCACCACGAGTCCTGTTGGGAATCTCAGTGGAAATAGTGGCTCCACGCCCAGTGGCGTGGGCATTATGCCCGGTGGTGGCGGAGCGGGGGGCAGTGTCAGTGGCAGTAGTTCGAATTTAACCGCCAGCAGCAACACCTTGGCGGCCACGCCCCAAGCGGCAGTAGGAGGCGGCGGCGTCAGCGGAGGAGGAGGAGGAGGAGGTAGTGGCGCCCAGTGTGCCCAGAGTCCATCGGGCCAATTTATATTGCCCAACAATGGCAAGGGGCATACGCAGAAAGGACCTCTGGCCACGCATGTCTAAGCGAGAGAGGTTTATCGAAATGTATCGAAAAATATCGAGAAATATCGAAATACCGAAGGATACGCATATACACCGTATAAATATTAGAGCAGAGCCATTAGTAATCCCTAAAATGTATGCTAATTTCGTAAATCGAAAGAACTTCTAGTGTGTAATCGTATTTTTTTTGTCTCACTTAGGAAAATAGTATATTTAAACGAAGAAAAAAACTCTTGTTTTTGCTTGCACTGGGAAATATTCTCTCTGTTTACATTTTAAGATACAATAGGCCAAAATACAAGAGTAAAAAGCTATGTCGTCGTCGATTAAGGTATTCACAATCAATGTTCCAAAAAAATAGCAAAAAATATTCCAAGCAAAAAGGTTAATTCATTAAAAATAAACAAAAAAATGAACTTTTGGTTATGAAAAATATAATTTTATTATATTTTCAATTTTACATCTTAATCAGAGTCAATTATAATTATTTGTTTGTATTGTTTAATATTTTATTATTTTTTTTATTTAAAATACAACAAAAATATCAATTTAAAATTAAAAAACTTTAAAATTTCATTAAACAAAATACCTTAAAAAATAGTTCTCTCAACATCAGAGTAAATATTACCCATGTAGATACAAGCAAACCCTAAAACTTAAAAGAAAAATTAAACAAAAAAAACAAGAAACAAAAACAAAAACCGTATTGTGATTTATAGCGTTAATTATTTTATGGCAAAAAAAAAAATAAAAAACAAAACTCAATGTCGAAGCGGAAAATTATATATCAACTAGTGCAAATTTTAAGCTATTTATCAAGTGGATTTCTCCACCAAAAAAAAAATACAAGAAAATCTTATATCAAATAAACGAAGCGTATCGAAAAAAAGCAAAATACAAAAAAAAAAAAAAAAACAAGAACAAGAAAACCGACTACGAAACTTAAAAAGTTTATTTTAAACATCGAGTTGCATACAATTTTTAACAAAACCGAAATCAATTCAATTAAATATGAAAGTAATTATAAAATGCCTGTAGTTAGATCCAACTAAATAAAAAAAAGAAGAAAATACTATTAAAAGCAAGCTAAAAAGAATTCGAAGCCAAAATTTATTAAATTTTTAGACTAATATATATATGTACGTGTATATAGAAATATACATATATATATATAGGAAAGAAAAACTAACTAAATGCAGTGAGAGAAATTTTAGAGCAATTGCAGTATTTTGACCCGATCAAGAAAATTAAAAAAAAATATATATATATATATATATAACATTCTTTAACACGTTTTGGTTTTTTATTAAAAAAAATACATTTTTCAGTTTTAAAATGTTCAAATATTGTAAATATTATATTAAAATTCTTTTAAAACCATATTTTCACCAGAATTCCAAGACAAAACAAAGTCCAAAGCACACAGGAAAGCCTTTTCAGCTTTACTAGGATTTTCAAGATTAAAAACAAAACGATAAAAAACGATAAAAATCAATAAACGAACCTAGAATATCGTGGAACTGAAGAGGATCCTGACAAGATCGGATAGAACCATATTCTTTAATATTTTAGCTGAAAAACAAAGTCCAAAGTACACAGGAAGCCTCTTCAAGACTAAAAAGATATCGATAAAACCGATAAACGAATCTAGAATATCGTGGAACTGAAGAGGATCCTGACAAGATCGGTTAAAATCATATTCTTAATATAGTTCTGCTCCACCACAAATTATAATTTACAAAACAACCAACAATGTCCCATATTTAATTTTATTAATTATTTAATAATTTATATACACCCACACTATATATCCAAAAATCAAAACTTGATCGGGTTCTGGAACACAGCATTAAGCATCCATGTGAAAACTTGCAAATTTTTTTGTCTAGCCTCTAAGGAAAGTAAATGAAATTTAACTTTAAATCGATTATGTAAAGAAACAAATGAATTATTGTATATCGTATATATATATATATATATATTATACATAGAGCATAAATGTGTATGTCAACGCTTAAATTAAATGACTAGCTAAGGATTTAGAAGCGATGAGTGGGGAAATATTAGAAATATTAACAATTTTTTTTTGTTTTTTTTTTCTCCTGCCTAGTGGTGTAAGCCTATTTGTAAACAATGTAAGTGTAAACAATTTTAAAAAATGTAAAATTACATTTAAATATATATATATATAAAAAACCAAGCTTAGCAACAATTTGTAAAACATTTGAGCGATCTACCAAAAACAAAAAAAAAAAAAAAGAAAAGTGAAACGATATGAGAGGAAGGGAAAAGCGATAAGTAAACCTTTTTTTACACGAGAAATGCTGCCTTATGATTCCTTGTTGGGTTCTTAATTCATTAAGCCAATACACTGTAATTAGTCTCTTTTTTTTTGTGAAACATATATACACACAAATATACATGCATATTTACCTAGAGAGTAATACATAAAATGCTTTAAATGTTTTTCATTTACCTTGATTTCCACGAGTCTATTTTATTGTTTCCTTGAGCTACGCGCAGAGCTTTTAACGAGAGATAATACATTTTTCACGTAAATTGTCAAACGATTCAATTAAGAGTTCAATTAAATAGACGTTAAAAACAAAAGTAAAAAAACAAAACGAAAATCCTATTAAGCCAAGTAAATTATAATTATTACAAACAAAAAAAAACAAACAAATGAAAAATGTAAAGCGCAGAAATGCCAGAAAAATGAGAAGAAATGGCCGGCAAATGAAAACTAAAAACTAAAAACGAATTGCGTGCAAGAGGAAAGAAAACAGAAATTAACTTTTAAGTCGAAACCAACTCAAAACTAGTTGAAATAAAAGGAAAATACAAGAAATAAGATTGAAATAAAACATATTTCAGAGCGTACAGTGTTCTGAGTCGTTTTTTATGTGTCAGAGTAACCGATGATTCGCCGGAAACTCGCGATTTCGACCCATATCGGTATAATTCGCGATCAGCCATAGATAGCTGATTTTTCGAAAATGCGCGCCGAAAAAACCGCCGCTCGGCGAGGCTGCCACCTTGCCGCCAGAAACGGCTTTAAAACTGTTGAACTGCTTCGTTTTTGCCAGCACTGCTCCGTGTCCCGCCAGAAACTGCTTTGTTAAAACTGCTTGCTGCTGTCAGAGATCTGGCAGCCCTGCATTGGGGCTTTCCAGTCCGCACCCGTTTCCTATTCCCTACTCCCACTATTTCATTAAAGTTTCTCACCCCTTTCTAATAATTCCCAAACTTTTCAGCAAAGTTATCCACCACGTTCAGTTTTGTTACCGATGAACGCAAAAAATGGTTTGAGTATTAGATGTGGTTTGAGTATCTGGCTATATAGCTATCGATATTTGGGCAAAAAATTCACTGGCAGACTTTTCATTGATGTTAACAACTCTGTTACTCTCATTCTGTTCTGATCGAGTATGTTAACTAACATTTTTACATTTTAACATTCTACATGTACAACTTTGTTTTGACAATTTAACATTTTTCTTTGAAATTCAAAGTGACCAGGAAGAAAATATCAAAAATTTTGGATCTTTTTCACATCTCTAGTGAGGGAGCCGATGTCAATTTGGGAATTCCATAAGCAAAATTCTGTTAACGAGCTGTTACTCTCATTTTGGGGAATTCCATAAGCAAAATTCTGTTAACGAGCAAAATTCTCTGATCGAGAGCATTTCTATGTTAACTAACATTTTTTATGTTGATTGGCATTTTCATGAAAATATCGATGTATCGATATATCGATATATTGATATATTGATGATTATCCTCAACCAATCGTCTATCGTTTTATCATGTTCAAAAATTGTATCGTCGGAAGCGGTTGTGCTGCGGAAAAACGTAGAAATTGAAGCCGAAACACAATTTCACTCTATGCCGCGGAAAAATTTGAACGCGTTGAATTAAAAAATCTACAACGAATAAGACTCAATGATCGCGAAAAACGAACCACAAAGAGGAGAAAAATAACACAATGGCAATAAATAACAAATTCTTTTTTTGAAAGTGAGTGCAACGAAAATCAGGAAAAGGGATAAACACACCTGAAGGAAATGTACGAAATGGCGCTCGACAACGCCGAAACAAAAATATGCCACAAATAATGCCGCCTAAATCGTATACATTTTTTTGTTCAAAAGGATCTTGTTAAAACTCGGATTTTACGAAAATAGTGTCTACCTCGGATCTTTTTTGTGCAAGTGTGCGACGCGTGTGTGCGAGAGAGAGAGAGGGAGCTAAGAGATCGAGAGAGCGAGCGCATGTGGCGTCCGTTTGAAATTTGAATTTCAGCCCCGATCCTCCTCCTGATTCTTCTTCTTCTTCAACAACAAATACGAATACAAAAGAGAAAACGAAAGAGCATTATTTTTTTGCAATTATTTTTTAATGTTTGAAAAAACAAAAAATGTCGCCGTCGTCGGGCAAAGAACTCCTTTTAATTTATGAAATATAAGAAAAACGAGTAAAGGAGAAACGCACAGCTTTAAACAATCGAAAAAAAAGCACTGACCAACAAAAATAGTACAAGATCAGTTAAAGAATCTAATCGAAAATCCCTCGAAAAACTTAGTGAGTGAAATACAACAAAAAAACTGGTAAACTTGGTAAACTGGATTACAATGCAATCGCAGCGCAGCCGACGTCGCAGTCGCGCATTAAACACACGGATTTGGATTTGGATTAACAAAATGTACGCTCTGCCGGCGTCGCTGTCGGCGTCGCTGCCACTGCTGCTACTGACGCTGGCGTTTGCGAATTTGCCAAGCACCGTCCAAGGAACTGGTGAGTAAAAAGGAAACGCGAAAACGCGATCACGAAACGAACCAAAAAAGGGGGAGAAAAAGGGTGCTAAAGCTGGGTGCAAAGGGTAGGTGGAAAAACCACACGCTCATTGAGGAACAGGAACTCGGAAAAGTAATAATAACTACAGGAAGTTTTTCAGCTTTTAAAACAGCTTAAAAATGACTATAATTCGATAATAATTGATTTATAACATCAAATAAGGTTTAGGGAAAGCCTTTAAAGAGTAGTTATTGCCAACAAACTTTTTGTAAAATAAAACTTATACTATATTTTGTTGTTATCTCCAATTAAAGTACTTAAAAATAGTTTATGCGCTTTATTTTCTGGTGAACCTTAAAAAATATCTTTCAAATGTGCTGTGCACTCCAAGCATATTCCCACTCCATTCTTATTCCATTCCACGCTACCTCCCTTGTTCGCTGCTGCCACTCTTCCTTCTTCTTCGTGTTCCTTTCCTGGCTTGCCTTTTTCTGGTTCTTTCGCTCGCCTCCTTTCTGCTGCCATCCTACGCTCCGCTTTGTTGTCAGTTTTCGGACAGGTGGTCGCTCTTTCATTCCTTCGCTTCTCTCGCTCTCTCGTTCTCTCTCTCTGCCGCCCTCCAACTCTCTCGCTCGCTCGCGCGCTTGCCCGCTTGCTCTCTGCTGACTGCGCATGCTCTCTCAGATTTGTAGGCCCACCTTTTCGAAAAAAAAGGAGGAGAGACAAAATGAAAAGAAATACTCGTATGAAATAAAAATGAATTTTTACCGTCGGCAAAAAGGCGACTTTTCTTTGCCAACGTTTATTTTTCCTTTGTTATTTGCGTTTCGATTGGACGACAACTTCCCTTCCAACGGGTACTTTTGAAAAATGCTATATACTTATGGGTTATTTGGACAGCTAGAAAAACGATGGCAAGATACACAGAGATGGCACAGGAGGTACTTGTATTTGCATATGGGAACGGCTCTTGTCTAATCATTAAGTAAATATCGGGTCGGTTGTAGGTGTACCCAGTGGAGAATGTCAACCTTTCGGGGAACTCGAACATTTTTAACTGGAATTCCGGCTTAGAGTTCGAAAGAAGCGGGGAAATGCACAGCCCACAAAAAAAATACAGATCTTTTTCGATAGATTTTTATACATAATATATGTATAGTTTTTGGAAAATATCGCCAGTCTAGAAATTTTATAGATTTTTAGTTAACTAGCAAAGCTGGCAAGTTTTTAAGAGTTGTCAAATCGAGAAACAGCTAAAATGCAACGCTACTGATTGACTGTCAAATACTTAAGAATGTCAAGCGGCTTTGTTTTTCCTTTGGGAAAATTTTGTATCGTCAGTTGTCCCATAATTATTCAGAGCCCCTATAAAACAAATGGATCAGCCGCAGTTTTCCTTGGACAACATGCTAGAAGATGTCTCCGACACCGAGCCTGAACCTGTACCAATACGTAAACCTAGACCTAAACGCCAGCAAGAAGAGGAGCCTTCTTCGCCTTGGGAATCGATGCATGCCCGGCCATGTGATCCCTCGAAACCGCTGGACGAACTAGAAGTCCGTCTGGTCAAGGCCTTTAAGAAGAACCATGTCATGAACGCCCCCGAAGCCACCAAGAGAATGGATGTGATCAAATCGGGATCCATTTGCAAGAAGTGCCTGCTCTTCAAAAGTGTCTGCCAGGTCATTGGACGCCATGTGGAGGAAAGGGAATCTCAAGGCAAATAGCTGCAGAGACATTACTTATTCCAGTTAGGCACAGGCTGCGAGTGCCTCTTCCAAAGAACTTCCTAGTCAAATTGAAACTCAAGACACTAAACTAACACCATATTGCTAGGACAATGTCTGTGATAATAAATATTGTTCGTTAATGTTAAAAACAAAATTAATTTGGATATTTTATACAAAAACAGTGACGTTGAAGAAATAAGAATAGGAAATCTCACGGATTTACAGGAATTCGGATTTACATTATTTTCAGTATTTCAGAATCTATGAATGTTAGGAACATTCACATTAGGTACAGGAATATAAGGTACATTACTATTAGGTACATGTCAAATATTTCCAACAGTATTTCTTTTTACAGCTGCAACTGAGATCGTTGAACTAGTATTTTAATAACTTTTACCTGGGCATTTCCTGAGCTCTCAGGTTTCCGCCTCCTAAACTCTTTCTTTTCTCTCTCTCCATATCTTTTCTTTTCGATTTTTTCACTGGGTTTATTGGCCATGTGTGATGGATCGTGTGATCATTGTGAGCGACAAAATATTTGCATTTTTTTCGTAGCTGCAAAGAAATTAGCCAGCCCAAAAGGAAGTTGGTAGTAAAAAGTTTCATAATTGAACGACAAAAAAGAGCTCATATTTACGGGTTTTACACAGTACAAAAAGAGGTGAAGAAATTAAAAAGAATTTTAAAATATTTTTGAAAAAAAGAAAAACATTTATAATATAGTAAAAATAAGGAAAGAGACATATTTTTAATGTTTTCCTTTAAATTTCCCACTTGGGTCCTTGAAGTCATTTTCAGTGTATCGTAATTTCTCAATTCTCTGCCCCATTAGCTCCAATCCTGCAAGTTCCTTCAACTCTCTGTGGGATCATTGCCGCCTGCAGTTGGCCAGACATATTTTTTTTTGTTGTTCCTTAACTTCGCAGGTTTAATATTATATTATAGGCTCGTAACGGTTTCGAGGACCAACCACCGCATTCGATTTCATCACATGGCGGCGTCATCTATATGGATAAAACGACAGCTGGGCTCCTGGATCCATAAGCGTAGCGAAACAGCAGGAGCAGGAAGAACAGGAACAGGAGCAACCCCTGAATCCTGGCATATTGCACATGCGCGTCCTTTTTTGCTTGTTGTTTGCTCAAAGATCAAATTACGATATAGGGGGAGCGAGCAGGAGAGAGATACAAAGAGGTGAGAGAGAGAGAGAGAGAGAGTATGACGAACTCCTACCTAGAAGTATCGCTCAGATACTTTAGTATCTTTTCACTCAGCCGCGCTCTCTCTCTCTCTCTTTCTTTATAGCTATTTCCTGTATATATCCTGCACCCTAAAACTATATTTCTTGACTTTTGTAAGTCACGCACACGGGCGGTTCCTTTATTAGGAGAGCCCTCTTTGCCTAGTCTTTCAGTAAATACAAACTATATGGCATTATAAACTCCGGGCATAAAGTGGGTACACATACCCATGGTTATGGGTCGTAAAAATGAGCATTTTATGATCAGCAATTGCAACTTCATTTAATGGAAATAATTAAGAGATGGGTGCATTTTAAAAATTTAAGAATAACTCTAGGATTGTTGAGAAAACTAAGGGAATTACGATTTTGATTTATGGGAAAAGGAAAAAAATGGATCTTAGGACTTTAAATTATATTATATCTGTGCTGGAATTTGTAAATTTCACATTGTAATTATTATAAATAGTTAAATTTTTTAATATAAATATATAAATTATATAAATACCTTTAAAGTTTTATATAAAATACCTTTTACACCCAATTCCCACGCCTAAAAACCCTTTCCAAGGACGCCGTTCCGTTTAATTGTGAAAGTCAGTCTCTCGGGGGAACTCAATTAATTTGAGACAACCACTTATCGACCATTTACTGTCACATTTATTAATTAATCGACACCGCTGCCGTTGGCCCAGAAATGTATATTATCACTTGAAAAATATATAACTTTCCCATCGAGTAACTTAAGAAGACTTAATTAAAAAAAACTGTATATGAAATCAGCTAATTTTTCAAGTGTTAAATCTGCTGTTACTCCTTTCCTTTCGAGTTAAAAAAAAAAACCTGTAATTGATAAACAAAAAGAAAATAAAAATAAGGCGATGAAGAATCTTGTTGTTGGTCACTTGATAGCCCGCTTTCGTATATATACATATACACGGCATTGGATATCTGGCAGAGCAGTTCCGTTCGAGGCCTCTGCCTGATCCTGTTTTTATTTATTTTTTTTTACTCATTTTCGGGACACACCTTGAACGAATGGCAGAGCAGAGAGAATGAACAAGAATTGGCAATGTTTTATATATGAATTTTTGCAATCAGGTAGAATTTTATTTCAGTATACAATATTTTTAGGAGATTTTTTAGGGTTTATTTTTTAAATAATAATTTAAAAATGTAAAATATCAAGCATTTATATTTTTAAATTTTTTTCCCCCTCAGTTTTCCCTTGTAAATCTCAATAAATCATTGGATTTTCTTATGTTTCTTTTCCAAACCGTGTGTGTGTGCCATTTGTTCTTATTTGTCATTCCCAGAGTCATTGCATAAAACATGAAAATCCATTTTCCCAGACCCCCCCCCATCTCTACTCTTTCTCCTGTATTGACAACTTTCCAAGTTTTGTCTTGGGAAAATGCCTCAAATGGTTTGCAGTGATTTTTTATATATATATTTTTTTTTCATTTATTTTCCTTCTGTTAAACTAATTATGAAAACAGTCAACACTTGTCGGTTAGCAATTAAATATGACTAGAAAAATGCATGGATTCTGTGGATTCTAAATCTCGGTCGGCTGGGAGAGCGCCTTTATTGACTTTTAATGATGGAGATGATGGGAGAGCCTCGAAACCTAAAGCCGATGACTGCGACGAAGCTGAGAGATGCTGAAGCCGAAGTCGAAGTCGCGGTAAATTAGTGCGCCCTGGACTTACTCTTTCTGCCTTGGCCAGTTTAATGAGTTTTCTTTATGGCAACAATACACACACAAACACACCGAACCCGAAGTCGGCTCAGATACAGATACAGATACTCGCAGCGGCCGCACAGATACAGATGCAATTGAGCCGTTGCGATACAAGATACATACAAGCGGACAGACGGACGCACTGGCCGAACAAGTTTTGAATTTTTTTTTTCTTCAATTTTTTCTTAGTTTTGCCTTCTTTTCTTTTCTTGGGTTTCTTCTCTTGGCTTGGCCTGGCCTGGGCCTCTCCTTTGTGTGTTATAGCTGGTTCTTGAACGCGATC